GGGGGGGGGGGGTGGGCCCCCCTGGGCCGCCCCCCGCAAGTGCCGGGAACCGCGACTGCTCCTTCCCCGCTCCCATGAAATGGCCACTCAACCACCGGGAGCGAAGCAAATCCCACCCCAGCCGCAGCCGAATGCAGGGCCCGAAATCGGGGAGAGCATCTCTGAGCGTGCCAGCGGGACCCGGGGACGATGCCGGATCCGCCGGGACGGTGCTCTGCCACCAGCTCCTCTCGCAGAGAGCGCTCGGAGGAGCCGTCAGGATTCTCATGTATGAAACACGGCCGAACCCAGCGGCAGCCTTTTAAACCAGAAATATTTAAATATATCTAAATTCCTCCTCCTGAGCACGTGGGAGTTTTATCGCTTCTTGAAATTTTAATGTCTCAGTCGCAGGCAAGGGGGAGTCTCGTTTCCCCGTCTTTTGCAGCTGACTTTAAGAATGGTTAATTATAAATAAGACTGTGTGACTATTTATACGCACAAGCACACGGAGAAGGACAGGTTTAGGACACGCTTCCCACACGGCAGGAGCCAGCCTGGAGCGGGGCTGGGGACCCCCGTGCTCTGGCCAGCCACAAGGACGGGCTGTCCCCGGCCCCCGACTGGGGGCTGTCCCCCGACCATCACTCTGGGGAGGTTTGGTCACTGGAGGGTGACAGTAACGGTCACCGGTGGGACTGGAGGGTTCCTGGCCAGGCTGGCCGTGTCCTACAGACCATGAGGAGCAGGCAGCCGGAGCGAGTGGTCCGCCGGCACCCGGAGCTCAGGCAGACGGGGGACAGGCAGGGATCTGCATCTTTGGGTGCAACGGGAAAGGGCTCTGAGGTGCGAGGGGCTGGGTTTTGCTTGCCAGAGCGAGCGGGTGAAGAGGGGAGGACCGCGGCATCATTCCTGGTCACGCCGGGTCAGCGGTTTGAGCCGCGCTCCGGGAACATCACCGGGACCGGGTGCGGTTCTTCCCGCTTCCCAAAGCCCTCAGTGTCCCCCAGCCTGGGTGCCGGTCCCTTGGGGGATGGCGAAGGGCAGGGCCGAAGTGAGCAGGCGCAGGCAGGTAGCCGCTCCCATGCCGCACGCCGGCTTTGCGAGCTCATGCGCTGTTCCCCGGCTCCAGGAACAAAGGGGGGGACAAAGACTTCCCGACTCCATCCCGGCCCCCACGCTCCCCCCCAGGATAAATATTCCTTCGGTGGGAGCAGCAAGAGCTGTTGCTTATGGAAACCTCGGTGGTTTTATCCCCATATAAGATCTATTTATATGCTTATTGAATTTTTCATAACCAAGTTGTGAACGATCGGCGTTCAGGGTCATCCTTTATACACGGTTATTGCCATAGAAACGGGAGCGAGAGATGAGCCGCCCCACATCCTCTCCCATCGAGGGATGCGGCAGCGCTGGTGGAGGCTCTGCAAGCCAACGCTCTCACCGGCGACGGGCTTCCCCGTCCCGGCGCACTGCCGGGTGACACCCTGGCGCAGGTCACCACCTGCCCGGCCCGCTGCCAGCCTAGAAGGTGGCACCTTCAAACGCCCCGGGGTTTGCGATGCTCCTGCCACCTTCTGCTCCAAGGTGAAGCCTTGGCTGAAATACGCACCGCAAGCGGGACTGCTTTAGTGGGGGAATTCTTCAGTTTTTGTAGGACCTACCAAAACAACCGCCGTGTGCATGCAGGGATGTGCACCCTCATCCGGTGCACGGGCAAGCCCCTGGGGTGATGCACCCGGAGGGTCTGCTGGCACCTCCATCAGCCCGGCTCGGCCGAGCGCCAGGCGCAAGAGCAGCTCGCGCTCGTCCCTGTCCCCAAATGTCCCTAGGGGGTCCCACCTCCTTCCCCGACCACGTGATGCTCCTGGGGTTCGCCGCATACTCCCCGGTTTTGGTGGAGGAGCGCATCCTTCCCGGGCCCCCCATCGCTGCACCTCAGAGCAGCCCCCGCCCCATGCTGCAGGCAAGCACCCT